GGGGGGGGGGGGGGGAGGGTGGGGGGAGAGATGCAAGGGACCAGCAGGAAGCCAGACTCAGCCTTTTGATTAAGCAGCCATCTTGCTGGGCTAAGTGTAGAGTCCCGCCTGGTAACTGGGGACTTTCTTATTCCTTTGTTCGTATATATTGGCAGAACTCAGCAACGGGTCAATAATCAGCTGTCAGTGTGATGTCTGCAAGAAAACGTAACATCTAAGCTTTCACTACAACATCTGAAATTCAGACATAATGGTGAACCACAAACAGGGCAATGAATTGCCCTTACTTGAAGGGCTCCCAAGTTCAGTTCCTTGAACCAATTGCGTTCTTGGGAACAAGGAACTCACCAAGATTGATATTTAAATAAGATGTACAAATGTGCACATTTCATTAACTGTCACCACTATCATCGTTGCTCCCACTAATTGCAAACTCAGAAAGTTAAGTGTTAATCATTTTGTGTGTGAGACGGGCTCATTTAAAATCAAGGTGACATTGCAAGGCTTCAGAATCAGGCTGGCCTTAAGGGCTGGGAAGAATATCCTGCAACACTTTGTTCAAAATCCTGTAGGAGATCCTATAATCTTCAAAATTTTCAGGATTTTCCACATCATTTCATGAAAAACATTGTATCAGGAATAAAGGTAGCATGGGTTCAGATGCTCACCTTGAAGTAAATGGAGAACGCTGTACAAATGCCTGTCCTCCACCCTACCACATCTACAGATGAAATGGAGGATAAGACTTGACACCATGCTGGTGCCAGAAGAAACGGCTGGCAGAAGTGAAGAGCATGGCGCAGAGCTACCTCCATCTTCCTCACATCTGCAGAACCAGGAGCACAGAAGTGACATGGAGATGGAGAAGCAGCTCTTTGTCCACGAAGCCAGTGACCTGCACCAGGGAACCCTCTCCTTCAGACCAGGGAAGAATGAAAGAGCAGAGAAATCACGTTTACGTTCTCAAATCCTTCATAGGCATACTTTCAGGACTCCAGATGTAAAGACCGTCCTGAATCTCAACTCATGCTGTCACCTTGTTCAGAGACAAGACGCCCGACATTGGTAAACTGGAAGAAAGACCACGTTTCAAACAAAGCTTTTGCGTATCCTCTTTAAGCCCCAGCACCTTGCATGTGATCCCAGAATGTGCCCTTCCCTACACCATGAGCATACAATTATTTTGGCTTATCATTTCCCTGTTACTCAATAGGTATTTTATACTCTAGGCGCTAAAGCAGAGGGGAGGCTGTTGGCCATCAAGCAGACCAGCCCCTTTCTGCAGAAGCGATGACCTTTTCCTTTCATATTGTCAGAGCTTAGGACCTGTTTTCTATCAGCAGCAGAAAGGAGAAAATGGAGCGAAACAAGTAGTAAATAGCAACTAGAGTAGAAGCAAAGTTCCAGTGCGGGCCATTATAATGCCTACAACGGCTCTTGGTAAAGAAATGCCCACCTACCATCACTGGGCAGACTACCAGCAGGAGAGCAGGGAGCTAAACTTAGCAGTGCAACATGCAAAGGCACCAGCGAAGGAAAGCATCGTTCCGCTGCCACTCATTCACCAGAACCTCTCACTGGAACCGTCTGTTGCAGCTGCTGCTACGCGGTCATGACGCTTCTCTCCTCGAGGAACAGGCAACCATTCCGCATGCAGAGAGGAGGTACTCTTCCTCTCCAGCGTCATGGGTCATGAGGAGAGGCTGCAACAGGCACGTTCGTTAAGGGGAAGCTCTTCTTTCACTCCTTCATGAGTCCGATTCCTGACCAAAGCTTGAGAAATGGCACCAGTGCCACCAGAGCCAGGCTGGGCAGCTCCCAGACGTGTGCTTCAGCTGCCAGGGTTCCCAGCCAACCCGGCCAAGGGGGAACATTTGGGGAGTTGGTCCATATAGGTTAGGGAAGTCCATAGTAGGCCATTGAATCTCTCGTATGCGGTCAAATCATGCTACAAAATGGATGCTAATAAAAGCAGGGGCTCTTTTGTCTCTACCTTTGTTCTTGTAACTGACAGCCAGTACCTTTAGCTACCCACACTTCTTACTCAGAAAACAAAAGGGGGGATGGAGGTTCTACCGGTACAGTACAGCTGAATATCGCGGTATCAGCCAGAATCTTACCCTGACAGGCAGATTCCAATACCTGAATTTCATTTGCTGATGCTGATATGATCAATCAACCGGCACTACCATAAGATTACTGTGATTGTTGTAACGATCACCATGACTGATTAGCATGAAAATGGTGGAGCGAAGCAGGGTGGAATGCGGAGGACCCTGCAAAGAGGGATTCTAGGGCAGAGGCGTCTCTGGCACGGGACATCGTCTTGCCAGATTGGGCTGGGGTGCTGCTGTGGCACTTGACTGCCATCCAGATGCAGCGAAAGGTGCTTGCATGTGTCTGCAGATCTCCCTCCTCTTTATTCCGTAAGGAGAAGCCACACCAACTGTACGCTGGAGAATGAAGACCACAAATATTGAAGAGTTGCTGGTTCCTGGACTTCCGGGGAAGAATTGGCAAACTGAAGACAGCGCTGCCAAGAGTGGTGCTGACGACCGCGGTGGAATGAAGGACCGGCGAGTAGAGCCGCTCTGCGTAATTCCTCTCCAGACAAGGAAAGGGCTGGGACTGCCCACAAGTGCTTCAGACGGCTGCTGCTTGCAAGGAGACAGCGAAATAGCAGCCTCCTGTGGGGTTGGAGCTCTGGGAGGTGAGGGAATAGCCATCTTTGTCCTGACTGCGGTTCGGCACCTTTAAAAAGCACACTGGGCTCACATGCTGCCCTTCTTAATCACCTTTGGAAATTGCCTGTCAACTGCTTTTTGGATATTAGGAACCTTCATTTTTGCACATGTGGTGGATATGTAAAAAAACTCAAAAGTACTAGAAAGACATACATGGTACATCCAGACAATTTTAGAAATTAAATTTGAAATTAAATCACATTTTTAACTAGGTATAATCTCAGAATACATTAACAAGAGACACCAAAATGTACTGTACGTGCTCGCAGCTGCAAGGATAAATTTTGTCCCATGTTAAATAATTATCTACTTTTCTGAAGCAACTCCTTTTCCTTTCTTTTTCTTTTTTAACATTTATAAATAACAGCACAGCACAGTGGAGACTTTAGTATGAAGCATTAAGATCAAAGACCAAAACCTTTCTCATATTATAAGTGATTCCAGGGTCCCTGCGAGAGGGATGCCTGAGGCCAGCTGTCCTCTGGCTCTTCCCAAAGGGTGGGAGACGGTGCCGTTGGACGTGCGCTGCAGAGTTACGTCCGGGGCCTGCTGCTGGCAAAGGGTGTCCGGGGGCAAACGCTTAGATATTAGGCTTGGGCTTTGTGATTTGTGATTTGGGAAATTAAATCACATTTTTAACTAACCTTCATTTTTGCACATGTGGTGGATATGTAAAAAAACTCAAAAGTAAGGGTGTCCGGGGGCAAACGCTTAGATATTAGGCTTGGGCTTTGTGATTTGTGATTTGGGATTGGTTAGGAGTGGGGAAGGGGAAAGGGAAAGGCGACCCCCATCCATCTGATGTGCACCTGGCCACCTAGCTTTGCCATGCTCCCACCCCGACCTGCTGGGCAAAGCACCTGCTTCGGCTGGTTTAGCTTGACCGAGTGCTGGTGAGGGCTTCCTGGAGCTCTTCGAGCAAGATGGACGGCGGAGGAGCTCCTCGCCTAGTGAAGTTTAACAGCTGAGAAAGTTTTTTCAGTGGCCGCTGACTGTCGGGGTCCATAGAGCGAGCCCCTCCCCAGCCATTCCGTAAAAGAGACTGGCCTCGCGCCGAGTGAACGGGGCCAGTTTGGGGACAGGGATGATAAGCTCTTATCCCGCTACCAGGGATGTCCGCAGGGCATGGTTAAAGAGATCAAGGCGGCGGCCCTGAGAGGGGGATCGAAGCTCCGCCCGCGGCCCTTGCCTCCTGCCTGGGTGCTGCTTCTCCCCCCTGGCCCCTCCTAAGCGCACCTGTTTGCAGAGAAGTGGGGATCCTGAGATTGCAAAAGCATCCCTGGGCAGGTTGTCCTTGTAGTTTGGAAAGGACCAGCCAGGCAGTTACTGCTGGTCCAGTGTGGCTTTCCCTGCTGCCGGGCACAGCTTTGCTGTAGCCTGATTGGCCCTACTCCTTCTCCCCTTTGCTGAGAAGGCCAAGGGATTGGAGGGCAAGGAATAGCTGCGTTGCTCCTACTACCACAACCACAACCCTCCACCTCCATTCTGCTGCTGCGCTTAGCAGTCCAGGCCACCCGTGGCCCCAGTCCAAGGTGGGGCACCTCTTCTGGCTGGGAAGCTGCCGGTGAGGACGCTGCTCCCAAGCAAGCTGGGGGGGCACAAGGGCTCAGAGGGAGCCGGCGGTGCGTGCCAGGTGGGCAGCAGCAATATCTGCAGCCGCAGAAGAGCAGGCCTGTGCTCGAGCAGGTCCCCACGTGCCTCACATACATCAAGGCTCTTTAGAAGGGAATGAGGCAAGAGCTGGCCTTGAACTGACTCTGAAGATGGATGGATAATTTAATCTGATCTTCACTTGTCCGTCTGACCGGCTGGAGGAGGGGCGGGGGGGAAGATACCAGAAAATGCCAAATCAGACAATTCCACATTCTTTCCCAGCCCCAGCCATCTTGGCAGGGCTGCCCAAAGCTCTTCAGCGAGAGTTTGGCTGCTGCCATCAGGCCACAGCAGAAGGACCAAAGGAGTGAGGACCAGAGTGGCGGCACGCCTCCCCCATCCGCACCAGGACAAGGAGGACCGCAACACCTGCGGGCTCTCGGCTGACCCACCCTGGCACCTCCAGCAGGCCAAGCCGGCAGCGGTGAGGCAGCGAGGGGCAGAGGCTCAGCAAAGCCAGCGGGGGGGAGCACAGCAGTGGGGCTTCGCTTCCCATCCACCAGCTGCGTAGAAGCTCTGATATTGCCTCTTCTTGGCTTGACAGAGCGCAGCTGAGAGGAAGGGAGAGGGATGGGACGGTTTCCGTCCGCTCTTTGGGATTGCCACGGGCCACAGCACTTGCCCCACCACCCTGTGTGCTGTGACCCAGCCTCACCCCTGGCCTTCAAGGAGGCTGCCATTTTGGAATAATTACCGTGGTCCCAATTCAGCTCAGAAGCTGTATGGAGTGGGAAGCTAGCCCCTTCCCCCTCAAGGCTGTTCTGTCCAGATTTGCAGCAAAGCCCTTCAATTGCCTCTCGTCGAATGCAGCAGAAGGCAGACCGGAGGGCTATGGAAGTAACCTGAAAAAAAAATAGCTCCCACGATCCTTTGCTGACCAGCACAGAGCCACATCCTTCATCTCTATCTTCTAGGATTTCCAGAACAAAATTAAACATCTCTGTATCTTTTTCAATTTAACATTTTCCGTGTTTATGGCGCTGATATGTCACCCTTCCAAAGACTGGCAGGCTGGTCGACCCAGCAGCTGCTCTGCCTTTTAGGATCCAAAGTTGGAAGAAGTGCTTGAGACCACAACTCCTGTGGATAATGGGTTCAGTGACCATCAAGCTGCTCTTACTGATCAGAAAGTTTTCCCAACATTCAGCTTTCCTGTAGCTTAAATCCATTATTTCACGTCCTGCAGTCTGGAACCATGAGAGGGCAGGTCTTGATCTTCTTTTGTGGGACATTTTTGCTCTCATAACTCATCTTGATCTCTTCTCTTCTCTTCTCTTCTCTTCTCTTCTCTTCTCTTCTCTTCTCTTCTCTTCTCTTCTCTTCTCTTCTCTTCTCTTCTCTTCTCTTCTCCAAACATGCCCAATGCCCTGATTCTCTCTTCTCTGATCATCCTCACTGCTCATCCCTGTCCGATTTGTTTGAAGCTTTCTTAAGTGCGTGAGCAGAATTCAACAATATTCAGTTCAGTCTGACCAATGCAAAATAAAGTGGAACTATAATTATAATAATTTTATGCAACCATAAGACATTGTTGGCTCATATTCAGTTTGCAATCAACCACTATTCCAAGTTCTTTATTCAAGTATTCTTGCTAACAAAGGAATCTCCCATTTTACCTATACAGTTTATGGATATACTTGGCGTTTGTCTCTGTTCAATTTCGTTCCATATTTTTTTCACTTTTTACCTAATCTGCCAAGATCATTTTGAAAGTGATTTCTGTTTTCTAGGGCAATGGCTATCCATTAAGACAGAGGATTTACAGGGGGGAGAGAGTGATGAGAATCTCAACCAAGGCGGGGAGGGGGGCAGAGAACTAACTCCGATTTCCTCCACCATGATCCAGATTGACTCTCCTCCCTGGACTTGGTGTTTGGTGATGGAAGGAAAGCTATTGCTGGCCCCAAGACCAACTTTAAGGCATCTGTGGGTTTTTAATGGGGCCCACCACACACTCTCTGCACACATATGAGCTCATCCAGATTTTGCTTCTCTGACACTCTTCCTAAAACAGACATACCTCAAATGTGCACATGAAACATAGCATGGAATTTAGACCTCAGGTATAGCTTTACCTGATGCCAAGGTTGATCTCTCCCAGTATCATTTAATTTGCTCAAGACAAACAGCATTTCACTGCATTATCTCTTTATCTCTTTGTTTGGTTTTAGCATTTCTAATTAGTTATTTTATTTTGAAATGAATAGTCTGTGAGCCATCTTTACAAAGATCAGTCCATTTCAAGGTTGGTTTCACAATATTCACACATCTCTCTTTCCCCAATTTCTGTATCAATCTGCATTTTTTAAAAAAGAAAGACATACCAAAACAATGATTATTTTCAATATATTTGGGGCAAAATTATGTTTTTGTGCACATTTTGCCTTAAAGCACACTCTTATAAGTATTGTTATATTTTGGGATTTAAAAACTGCATCTGAAAATTGGGGGAAGTGCAAATATGGAAAAATAGCTTGCACGCCCTCTGGGAAATCTGTATCAGCTCCATTTGCTTCCAAGGGAGAGCACGCCTGTTTGTTTCCTTCTGCTTTCTGGTGGGCAAAGGCTTTGAATAGCAACAGAGACAAGTGCGGTCCAGTGCATGCCTTCAGGCCCACTTGTTCTCCGCTCCCCAGAACCCCCCTCAATCCTGGGCGCAGCTCTGCCTGCTTTCCACTGAGACTCCCCCGATCTTGAAGCATGATTTCTCTTCACGTGCAAAAGCTTCCGTTATAAAATGCGAAGGAGGCTTGCCGTGCTGCTGGAAGAACGGGAGGATGCTGTCAGATCTTTCACGTTCAGATCTTAACTTGGGGTCCCATGGAGAAAAGAGGACAAGGGGGATGGGCAGCTCAGCTTTGACTCTGGAGGCCTCTCTGTCCCTGGGGATTCTGAGCGTCCTTCAGAAACGTTCATCAAAGTCCCTTCTGCTTCCCTCAAAACCTCCCGCTATTTTGCCTGAGGGTCCACCTTCCATTTTTCCCTGGAAACAATGTCAGTCTTGTGATGCTTTCACCGGGGACACTTTCTAACTAGCTCTGGCAGTGTAGGAATTTGGGGAACAACTGTATGAATAGCTAAAAACTGGTAGTCGCATCCCATGTTGGCCCTTTCCCCCCTCCCCACAGGAGGGCCAGAAGCCTTCCCCCCTCTCCTTGATACCAAATTCTACTCTAGGGCACTGAATAAGAGTATCACAAGCTGCTAGGAAGCATAGATGTATTCAAAGAAAAATACCGTAGCACAAAACAGAGCTACAGGTAAGAGTGTTTTTGTGAAACAGAACACCAATATTTGGTTTCCTTGCTGATTT